TAAGGGACATACCCATGTGAAACTAGGGGATCAGGTAAGTTATTCTAGACTTGGCTGGCGGAACATTAGAAAGGCATAAGACTTATGTCAAAATTAGTAATCAAATAATGATCTTGATTGCTTTCAATTTCACAATGGCCACTTGAATATCACCATTATCTATAAATTGCATATGAAATTCAACACGTTACTTGGCAGGACAGGACATTTCCTTTTATTTAACATAATATTTTTTGATAGCCCAATCATGATTCATTGTTAAATTCTGTTGTGATCTTCAAATCTTAGATAAGGTTTTTACCTTAGTCTGCTTAATAAGGTTAGGTCAGATTTTTACCCTAATAAGGTTAGGAATATTACCATTGAGGATGAAAATAAGGTTGCCTATCTACCAATTCTGTATTTTAATTCTAGCTGAAGTACATGCTTATACTGTTTTGACCTCAGTAAATATCCTGAGGAGCTTAAATGATAACAATAATAATAAGAAGAATACCTAAAGCCTGGGGGCTGGAGACTTAGCTGAGAGGTTAAAAGCACTAACCACTCTTCCAGAGGACCTGGGTTCGATTCCCATCACCCACATGACAGTTCATAACTGTAACTCTTGTTCCAGGGGATCTGGCACCCTTATCCAGATATACATGCACATAAAATTAAAAAAGAAAAAGAATACCTAATGCCTATATAGTGCTTTTCCATGTCTTTACATAAATTATCTCATATTGCAACAAATAAAATACTGGAAGTCAGTAACGTTTTTGTCTACATGAGAGCTGAAGAGAGTCAGCGTTGAGGCTAGCAGCTGGCAGTGCTGGCTTTGCAACCCTGGCACCATGGCTCATTATGCATCTTTACCCATCTGTTGCAGTGCTTTGGTTTAATAGAAGTTCAAATCTGGCCCTGTCAGCAGACACTGAGCATCTCTGTGCTGGAGGTCCTAGCTTTAGGACCCATTCTTTGCCCTGCAGCAATGTGCAGTCTAGGGAAACGTTACAGACTGCGTTAGCACAGGTGCTGATGCTCTTGGACTCCTGGGTGACGTAGACCCTCAGAATAGGTGTGGAGGGAGCTTCAAGACTCTACACAACCTTCTCATTTATAGATGTCAGTTGTTCCCCCTGTTCAGCCAATGAGAAGCCAGCCTCTCAATCCCACCCATTTCAAGGCAACTTAATTTTATATGGCAGAAATTTTTGCTACCACGTAGTAAAGTACTAGTAGTTACATTTTTTTTTTTTTTTTTTTTTTTTTTTTTAATGGGAGGTGCCTCCTCTTTCCTTGTGACTTAAATTTTCTAGGCATTTTCTATTTCAGAGGAGGAAACTAACTTGTTGACCATTTTTATCTCTACGCTAGGTGGCAGTAGAGAAAAGAGTAAAATGTCTCTGGCTAGTTTGCCTAAAATTAAAAGGAATGAAGTCAGCCAGGTGTGAGGAGTTTGTTTTCTGCTGAGGAAGAGCTGGAAGGAAGAAGAGGTGTTGGTCAACTGAGCCAGTCTTCCTCCATCTTTCTTGCATTCAAATGTAACCCTGCTGTACTGTGGTTTCCAGTTGCACCTCCACTCTAACAAAGTGGGCTGGATAATTAGAAGATGTATCTAACATCCCTAAAACTACAGCGAGAGGACTGAGCATGGTGCACACATGTCTATAATCACAACACCTGGGAGAAACAGGAGTTTGGGGCCAGCTTGTGGTGCACAGCCATGGTGAGATTAGTCCCCGGAACAAAACCAGGCCAGCAAACTGGCTCAGCAGGTAGGGCCTACAGCCCAGAGAGCCACCCTGAGTCCAGTCACTGGGGTCCATATGATGGAAGCAGCCCAGACTGCCACCCTCAGTCCAGTCACTGGGATCCATATGATGGAAGCAAAGAACTAAATCTCACAAATTGTCCTTAAGCCTCTTACACATGTGCCACGGTGTGCACACATGTGTAAGTGTGCATACGCTGGTACACACATATGTAAATAAAATGTAGTAATTGTAACTGCAGCTGTGCCCATCAAGCCTGCTTACTTTAAAAGTCATTCTGCTCTTTTTTGTTGTTTTGTTTGTTTTTCGAGACAGGGTTTCTCTATGTAGCCCTAGCTGTTCTGGAACTCACTCTGTAGACCAGGCTGGCCTTGAACTCACTGAGATCTACCTTTGTCTGCATCCCAAGTGCTGGGATTTGATCAAAGGTGTATACCACTAACACCCAGCTATTCTTGCCAGGGCTCAGCCTACAGATAGAGTAGTGTCTGTCTCTCCCAGGTGGGTCTCTCTAAAGCACTTAGACTCCAGCCTCAAGGTTTTCCCAGATTTCTTCACTCTTTAATTTGGCCTTTGTCAGTCTCTATCTTTTCTCCTACCTTGTGCTCGTACTCATTTGTACCTTTCCTATGTTCTGCCATGGTACTGGGAGGCTCTTTATCTCACCCTGTCTCTCTGACTTTTTTTTTTTTTTTTTATGTGCATTGGTGTTTTGCCTGCATGTATGTCTGTGTGAGGGTATCAGATCTTGGAGTTTAAAAGTTGTGAGTTGTCACATGGGAGCTGAGAATTGAACCTGGGTCCACTGGAAGATCAGCCAGTGCTCTTAACCACTGAGCCATGTCTCCAGCCCCTCAGGCTTGTTTTCTAAAGTTCCTTTTGTTTTTATTTTGTGTGGAGAAGTTCTATTAAGCTGTATGTCTTTCATAAATGTCCTCTGTCACTGAGATGGAAATCAGGTTTTCTTCTGGGCCTTAAGTGTTCTGAATGCTGGTAGGTTTGCTCTAAGTTCTGCCAGCCGTTACTGTCCTTGGTTCACTTCTTTGTATTGAGAGTGACTGGATTTTATGTGGGATATTTTGGGGCCTTTGAATTTAGAAACAACTTCTCTCAGAGGTAGCCATCAATCCAGAAAACCATTTCCTTTTCTCTATAATTTTACTGCATACATATTTCCAAGTCTATAATTAAATATTGTTCCGCCTTGAATGGCAGGAACCTTCGGGTACAGTGAATTGTACTGAGTATTTTTCTGTAAGCAGCCTTCTCGGTTCACATGAAAACCTTGAGATGTGTGTATAATGTGAACTAACACATTTGTTCCCCCCACCACCAGATTTTTTATTTGTAATTAAATTTTCTAACACCAAAAACAAAACAAAAATTAAAAAGTCCTCTACTTATGATGGTTTTTGCAGCTATGAATGTTCCTATTTTATAGTTGCATTTAGCCACGCCAGATTCCAGATCTGCTTTAATTTGTATAAATGCTTCTGCCCACAGCAGAGTACTCTATAACAGCAACTCGGGGAAAGAGATCTGGGAAAAAATACATGTACTAATGAGTACCAAGAAAACAAACATGGCCCAGTGCACACGAGGCAGAAATACCTCAATGAGATGCTTTTTTTCATTAAGATTTCTTTCCCATGGTTGTAATTTCTTTTTGTAACAACCATTCTGGTTATTAGAATGAATCTGACAGTGCTCTAGAACAACCATGATTATAGCAAAGCTATTAAGTTTTTAAGTGTTATTTATACCTGTTACATTCACTCTCACCCTTAATACTGATGACAGATGTCAGAGGCAAAAATCAGCACAAACATGAAGACCACAACGCTGAGTGTCACCTGTGCTTTCAGATATGTTAAGCATTTCAGTGTACTATAGACCTTCCTTCACATTTTAGTAAGATGCTAATGCAGAACTGACACATTTGTATGTTGGACAGAGCTCTGTTCTGCTTGCATTTCACTGCTGTGAGTATTTCAGTGACTTGGCATTGCAGTCATTCCCCACAGTGTGGTGCATGGTTTGTGCTGTCACAAAGCGCTGGTCACTGCTGCCATATCGAGCACTCTAGTTTTTCCAGTGGTGTGGTTTTAATTTTCACTTTTCTCATGCATAATGCTGCTGAGAGCCTCTTCATATACTCATTAGCCCTTAGGTGTTCACTGCTGTAGATTGTTTAGATTGTTTTCCATGGTCTTTCTGTTTTCTACATTTCCATGTATAAGCTTTTTGTATAGATTTTTTTAGATATTTGCTCCTTTTATATTAGATATCATAATATCTCCTCTGTTCCATTTCTAAGTGTTAATTTGATGATATTCATTATGATCTCCCACATCAGGTGTGATCACCGATGCTTCTACCCTTTGTAATTTGCTTTTACACTTTTTCGGGTGTCATTCTCTGCCTCTGGTTACAATAAAGATCTTACTTGTTTATTCTGGAATATTCTACAGTTTGAACATCATGTTTGGGTTCTATTTATTTCCTGCCTACCCTTCCTACCATGGATCCATGTACGTAGCCAGTGTTTAGAACTGCCGGTCATCCTTGTCTGTTAACTAGTGTAGCCAAAGTGTCCTACTGTGTTTATTTCCCATCTGTAGTGCACCTTGCTTCTGAACTATCTACCGTACAGCTCTCTGTTTACTTGAGACTTCTTTAATATCAACAGAAGTTTTAGGCTTTCCCCTGAATTCCTGGTGAATTTTCTTTGGTTTTATAGTATTACACATGCTATCTTTTGATCTGTCTGTATTTTAATCCATTTGGGTCGTGTGCTAGCAGTGGTCTTCAGTCCTCCTAGCAGGGCTGAGGACACAAAAGTAGATTCTGTTTATTTCTCAATAGGTAATTACCCATTTTTGAATGGAAGTTTATTCCTTCCTATGCTTCTTACATCTTAACATTTTATTTCTTTTTCCTTTTTTATTTAATGAACTGGCTAGGATTTTTTTCTGCATCTCTTGAGGTGGGTCTTTCTACTTTAATATTCCTCGGTAGGTGAATTACATTGCTTTTATAATGTGAAAATAACTATTTCTGGCTTATGTTCAACATAGTCAATATCATGCCCACTAGTAGGTTTAGTGAATTCATATTTTGCCAATATTTGTGTGCTTGTCAATGAATATATTATTTCTAGAATATATTAAGAATGTCATCTTTGGATTTTTTGTGATAGAAGATAAGCACATTAATTTATTTTTATTTTATGTGTGCACACAGATAAATCCAAAACTTGAGGTAATGGATTTGAAGAGCTCTTCTCCCACTGTTGTAGATGTCTTTTCTTTTGATTCTACCTCAGTAAGTACTTTTTCTTTAACTTTAGCCGTGTTAAATTGTTTATTACCATCTATTTCCTTAAAAAGTATGTGAGGTGGGGATAAAACGTGGGTTGGGGAACCTAACATTTCAGCATTAGAAGGCTTTGCACAAGTCATAAGTTTCTAGACAGCCACGAGAGGGAGCAGCAACCATTTCCAGAACAGCTTTTCTCTTAAATTCAGTCTGAGTCCCTGCTTCCCTGCTCCTCCTGCTCCCCGATCCTGCCCCTGGGGTATTACACTGCTGTCAAATTGCAGACAGCCTACTCTGTCATCTTCCAGAGATGCTTGCCTTCCAGATTTGCTTTTAGAAGCTCTAAGGACGGCAGTTCCTCCCCTTTGTTTTGTTAGTCTCTTGTTGGATTACCCAGAAATAAAGTATCCCTAATACTTGCAGTTTTGCTTATAAAAATTATCTGATATTCTACATAGTGGGTGTCTTCAGGCTTCAGAATTAGCTTGAGCCTTTTACCTTCTGAGTCTGCTCACTCTTCTACACAAATCACCGGTCACCCTGCTGATTGCGCAAGCCTTGCTATGAGAATGGGAAGAGCAGACAACACTGCTGCTGAGCTGGCCATGTAGTTCCATATTGTAGGTGAAATTTTAAAGAAACACAACCTGATTGATTGACTAGAGTAGATGCCCATAATAGTATCAACTGCAGAGGAGTTCCACCTGGACCAGGAAGCACTCCACTTAGGAAGATGCCCAGCAGAAGACATCTTCTCATGAGTTGTGGTAACAAGAACCACATGGTGACAACCAGGAGCTCATTACCAGAGGGAAAGCTGTTGAAGCTGGTCTGTGCACTTAAAGTGCTTGGGTATATAACACATCAGCACTTCTACGTGAATGAATGACTTGTCAAATTAAGCATTAATGAGCTGTCTAAAACTTGCCACTATGTTTTCCCTATAGTTAAGTCTTCAGTGAATTTTGTTACAACATATGCCATTGACCTTATACATACCAGTGAGTTGAGTGTTTTGTGGTAGGTAGGTAGGTAGGTAGGAAGATAGGTAGGTAGGTAGGTTGTAGCATGGGCTTCCTCCTTGTGACATATCCAGCAGAATAAAATTTAGTGTTCCTGTCCTAGAAACTATCTCAGATCGTTAAAAATTTTTATTCTACTTATTGAGACACAGGTTCCCTGCCAGCACCCTTTAAACTTTGCAAAGACTCATGCCTTGAGGACTCTAAGCATTCTCAAGTTTGTTGTGAAAGATGGGCCTATTACCAGCTAGGGCAAAAGGGTGTCTATCCCTTGGTAGTAACCCAGATATACCAAAATCAACTAGTTTACATGGTATCTGTGAGACTTTGAAAAGGAGTGCTGAGTAACAAACATGGCAAGATGGACAACACAAACAAGATTGAATACTACATTATTATTCACAAGAAGGGAGCATTAGCCTGAATTATGTGAAACTGCCCTTTTACAACAAAGCTGGACTAACATCAGTGACTTCACTTTACAAGAAACATTCCAGGTGATTGATTTGAAAAGTAGTGATGCCAAGCCCTGTGGCACACATCTCTAATCTTAGGATTGGGAGTCAGAGGAGGAGGGTTTTGAGTCTTAGACCACCATGAGTTATATAAAAAGACTGTGTCAGAAGATGAAGGGCTGTGGATGTGTGTCATAGGAACTCACCTAGCACATGGAAGGCACACTAAAGTGAGACTTAGCTATTCTCCAGTGTCTTCCTGTAGAGAAGGCATACAGTGTAACTGTTGGTATCTTTGTGGTTTATACTTCTGTCTCTAATGCCTGGTAGAAATTTTGATATGTTTAGGGATCAAAATAAGATGTTAACCAATCTGTATTTTTAAAGCTTGGTTGTATCCTTCCCTGACCCCCCCCACCACACACACACACACAAAAGACCAGCAAAAGATTGGTGCTGGCTATCATATAGACGTGGTTTTAAAATGTTGATCTTCTCAAATGCCTTAATCTTTATTTCAATTATAACAAGTGGCTTACTATATAGTTTTCTGGCTCTTTAAAGAATCATTTCTTTAGGATCCTGGTTTGACTCTTAGTATTTTCATAAACCTAGACCAAGGTTCTGCCATCAAACTGAGTTAAGGATGGCTCGAATATGGCTCAGCCATTGAGGTTTGGCTAGCACATGTAAACTTCTGGATTCAGTCCCTAGCACAGACAAGATTGTACTAAGGAAAAAAAAGTCTGGGTGGTGGTGGTGCATGCCTTTAATCCCAGCCCTCAGGACGCTTAGGCAGGTGCAGCTCTGTGAGTTTGGGGCTAGCCTGGTCTACAGAGTGCGCTCTAGAACAGCCAGAATTACACAGAGAAACCCTGTCTCAAAAATAAAAAAAAAAAATTAAATAAAAGATTGTACATAGGCATTTAGCATTTGCCATCTATGACGTAGCTACACAGGTGTCCTAGATCATCTTCACCGCTGTTGTCAAATAGGAATAATATTGAACACATTTGTTGGGACTAAAGAGATAGCACCGTCTGTAAAGTGTAGGCCATGTAAGCAGGCGGGGCTGCATTCCCCAAATCCTTGTATAAACTGGGCATGGAGGTGAGAGCCAGTAATCCAACGCAGAGGAGAGGCCAAATGTGCGGGTCCTCGGGGCTCCCTGACCACATGATCTCTCCTAGTTGGGAATTTCCAGTCCAGTTTGTCTTCTCAAAAGACATAGTGGAGCCAGGCGTTGGTGGCTCACGCCTTCAATCCCAGCACTCGAGAGGCAGAGGCAGGCGGATCTCTGTGAGTTCGAGGCCAGCCTGGTCTCCAGAGTGAGTGCCAGGATAGGCTCCAAAACTACACAGAGAAACCCTGTCTCAAAAAACAAAAAACAAACAAACAAATGAAAAGATACAGTGGATGGCTCCCGAGAATGGCACCTGAATTTGACCTCTGGTTTCCACATTTACCCAAATGCTTCCACCTACAGGCACACACACGGGGTGGGGGTGGGGGGGAGAAACGTCAGGTGAATTAGTCTTAATTCAACAAAATTCGGTTAGCACTCTTAGAGCTGTTCTTCTGATTGCCAAAACACTGAATTCTTCTCAAAGAGCTGAGACACTGTCTTTGTCCTTTATCTTTATCCCAGCCATGATGCATAGTGTAAATGTAATGTGTATGCCTTTCTTTAGAGTTGGGAACAGCAATTCAGGTCAAATTAATTATTTATAATAAACTGAGAAGTTAGTTACATTGTTGGAAAAGCAAAAAGCCACCCTGCAGTGTTGTAAGCCATTCACCAAAACAAAGACAAGCTGCCTAGCCTAGAGAGGCACTGCGAGGTGCTACCTTGAGGCAGCTCAGCGGCCCCAGCCTTCCTAAGATGAAAACAAGCTAAAGTGGAGGGAACAAATGTCAGCCTCAGGGTTCTTGATGTCAAGTATAGGGACTTTTCAAGGACATGTTGGTAAGGGCAGTGTCCCAGAAGAGATTCATAGACATCTGGAGACGACAATAGAGGACTTTTCCAGGAGTAATCAGCCCTTAGCCTGAGCAAAGATGGGTAGGATTTTTTTTTTTTAATTTACTGGAATAGTTCAGGTAAGCAAAGCAGAGTTTAGTATATTCCTTTAAAATTTTTGAAAATGGGAGCCATGATAATAAAATGCACAGCAGTCTACTTCTAGATGTCTCTCTCTCTCCTCTCTGACATGCACACCATGCATTCAAACACACACACACACACACACACACACACACACACACACACACAGTTTTTTTAACTATCTCTCTCACATCCCTTCCTGAGGTGTGACTTTTTAGTTCTTGGTGATCTTAAAATTGTGGTCATCTTACCTTGCTCGGCCTTTTCCCTTCACACCTGGCTAATTTGGGTCCTTTACGTGGCCTTACCCAACAGATGGCAGATGTGACAGAATCCTAGAAGGATGCCTACTCATATACATCCATGTCCCTCGTAAATATTTATCAAGGAGCTACTTTGCATTGCTCTCCATTCTCAGTGTTAAAGAAATGAGAAGAAAACAATCAATTAGAACCTGTCCAGAAAAGCTCCATCCTTCATCCTAATCAGGGAAACAGCAAGTCAGACTAAGTTTTTAGGAAGTGGATCAAAAAACCACAAAAGTGAGGAAAAGCTTTGAAGGTATTGAACAATAGCAAGAGGATGCAGGAGTGTGGTCAAGACACCAGTTACGATGGGTGTGGTGGTGGCACACTCCTTTAATCCCAAGCACTGGGGAGACAGAGGCAGTCAGATCTCTTGAGTTCAAGGCCAGCCTGGTGTTCAAAATGAGTTCCAGGACAACTAACGCTGCTGCACAGAGAAACGCACAGAGAAAAAAAGATAAGAGAGAGAGACCCGTCACATGGCAGGTGCCCTCTGAGGAGGGAAGTGCTGCAGCAGCAATGGGAACAAGGACAGTAACTAGAAAACTGAGGAAACCGCCTTGGGTAGTGGTGGCTTGACACAGGCAGGCTCCAGGGATGTGGTGACAGATGGCAGGGCTCTGAAGACATTTTGAAGGTTGAGCCAAGAGGATTTCCTGACAGATTGAATGTCAGCTGTGGGATTCCCTATCTCCTCTCCCAGGGGACAGTAAGGTGTAGCCCTGAATAATCTCAGGGCAGCTGGGCATATCTTCTGGCTCAGCCTCATTTTGACAAAGAGCCATGAATAGAAAAAATAATTGTGGTTTTCTTGTCTTGAATTCTAGAATCAGAGAAAGGAGATTTCTCTGCCGTATCTGTGACTTAGGGAAGTACACAGCAGCTAAATGTCATTTAGAGTCATATTTCTTCTTTGCAAAGATTGTGACATCAGTCTATCCAAGGCAAGAGAAAAGTTGCCCACTTGCATGAACCAGATGGTACATACTACCTAGAAAACAGTGCTGTGTTGACACATATGTGGACACAGGGAGAGTAGACTTGCACACAGAATATTTCCATAGATGTTGTGGCAACAGTACATCCTGGTTACCAGACAACATTGTGTAACTAGTTCAGA